AGAAAATGGATAGAGAAACACACAGGAAATAGTGAGGAGGGATTTTTGAGTCTGGTGGCTTTTTTGGTTTGGGATAGTGGAAGAGAAGGCTTCTGAGATGCTGGCTAAGAAGGAAGGTCGGTTGGTTGCTCCTCTGTCTCTCTGAGTATGGTGATAATTTATTTGTGCTGAAATGTGATTTTATTTATATGTTAATAAATAAAGTTTCCTGGGGATCAAAGTTAAAGCAAGCCATTTAGCAGAAGTCCGGTGTTGGTGGCACACTCCCTTAATCTGATCACATGGCAGGCAGAGTCTCTGTGTGTTCAAGGACACAGCCAAGTGGTGACCGGAACCTTTAATCTCAGTATGAACCATAGAGACCCGGAGGTCTGTATAGACAGGCAGTGATGAGGAAGTCATGTGGTTGGATTTAGAGCCAACGAGAAGGTAGAACAGAAAGGCAATACAAAGATGGGTCAGACAGGAGAAGGTCTCTCTCAGGGGAAGGACTGCAGCGACTGGTAAGTTAAAGGCTTCGCTAGTGCTCTGATCTTTTGGGCTTTTAACTCTGCATTTGGCTTTGTGTTTCTTATTTAATAAGACTTTTTAGAATTTCATCTATATCTGGGCTAGCAGGTTTTCACTCCAGCATTGACTCCCAAGTCTTTATTGGTAAAATCATAAGATTGAGATTTAGTATAAAAACAACAGACCATTAATTTATAATCATCAAGAGAGTATGGCATATATTGGGCCTGGAGAGATGGCTTAGTGGTTAAGAGCACTTGCTTTTCTTCTAGAGGGCCCAAGTTTGGTTTCCCGCATCCATATCGGGCAGCTCACAATAGTTTGTAACTTATAGCTCCTTTTTGCCTCTGTGAGCGTCTGCACACATATGGCATGTGCACGTGTGCACCCACACAGACACACACAAATAAAAATAAATCTTTAAAAACTTATTATATAGACAGAGCAATAGACCAATTGGATAGTGAATAAAACAAATTTCAGAAACTGATCCCAATATACATAGTAATTTAATATACAAAATATAGTTTCAATTAGAAGGAAAGGAATGGAACAAATAGCTGTTCATCTAAAGAAAACCAAATAGAGATTTTTCCTAATACCATAAAAGCTTCAAGATGATTAGGTGTTGGTAACTTAAGGGACAAAAAGGTATTATTTATTTAAGTGTACAGAGGACTGCAGGCTGGTATAATAGATTTTGATAGAGAGTCTCTGAAAACAACACTCTAGATGAGAGAATACTGCTTAATATGGAGGTTTCCCACTTTCCAAAATTAATGCAATGGTTTAAAATTCACCTTTCACAGGGCCCGAGCAAGGAAAAGTACGGTAGTGGGAGAAGTTAGGGAAGGAATTAGAAATGACTACAACATGATTAATGAAAATGACTCTTTGCAGGAAGGGAGGAATGCAAGGGAGATTTCCCAAAATTAGGCCTACAGAAAAACCTCAAAGAGTGAAAAATGGGCATTAATTAAAATACACGGCTGACCTGAACATGAAAAGGGACTGATGTAGTTGTCAGCATCAAGGTTTCTTGAGCCTGGCTCTCCCTGGTTACTTTATAACTGTTTTTATTTTTTCTAGGAAAGTTCCATCAATTCCTCTTTTAAAATGTAGGCTTCATCCAGCAACTGAAGGGGGCAGATGCAGAGACCCACAGTCAAACATTAGGAACCCAATGGAAGACAGTAAGGAAGGATTATAGGAACCAGAGGGGCTGGGGACACCAGGAGATCATGGCGCACAGACATCACTTAGCTAGGGCTCATAGGGGCTCACAGACTGGAGCGACAATCCGGGAGCCAGTATGGGTCTGGCTTAAGTCCTCTGCGAATATGTTATGGTTGTGTAGCTTGGTGCTCTTGTGGGACTCTTAACAGTGGGAGTGGGAGGTGTCTTTGACTTTTTTGCCTGCACTTGGGAACCTTTTCCAGTAGGGTTGCCTTGTCCAGTCTTGATATGAGGGTATGTGGTTAGTCTTATCGTAACTAGTTATGCCATGTTTGGTTGATGTCCCTGGGAGACCTGCTCTTTTCTGAAGGGAAATGGAGGAGGAGTGGGT